AAGGTGGATAATCTAGCAAAGCAACCCAGTAGTAGGACAGAAGTAGAAGTTTACATTAAAATAAGTAAAGCAGAAGCTAAAATAATGATTTGGAGGAAAATCTTGTAAAATTGGCGGAAAAGTTGGGATGAAGAGAAGAAAGGAAGACATTTATATAGTATTCAACAGAAGGTTGGAGAAAGGAGGGCTATTAAGAGAAATCGAAAAGAAGAAATTATAACTAGGATGAGAATTGGACATTGTAGATTAAATAAATACTTGCATGTATAGGTAAACATGTATCTGGAAGATGTGAATATTGTAATAATATTGAATCTGTGGAACGTGTTGTGCTTGAGTGTAAAAAATATAACAAAGAAAGAATAATGTTAAAAGAATAATTAAGGAAAATGGGGATGCAATGGTGCACACTAAAGGATATATTAGGAAAACTATCAAGAGACATTAAGTCACAATTATTATATTTCTTAAAGGTCACTGGTTTAGTAAATAGGATATAGAGTTTAATATGGATATTTAAGGTAAGAAAAGAGTAAAAAGAGGAAATGGAGGAGAGGGGAATACAAAATGAGAGGGTACTGCAATTATCTCTGTCCAAATCCAGTCCACACTCCAGTACAGAAGGGGGCGGTAATGCAACATTAAAGTTGAATGCCAACCGCCGTTAAACATCAACGAAGAAGACTTTTAATTTGCCAGTAACCTGGGTTAAGCACTTCTGGCGAACTGTATGCCAAAGGAAAGATCTGCACGTTTTTAAGGTGTGTTTTCTTTAGAAATCAGCGATCTCCACTGGCTGAGTGATATCCGATATGAAGTTGGTCTCAGATTGTACTAGAAGCACTGCATTAAATTACATTTCCCCGCCATGTCTTTATAATATGAGCATTTATGTTTTACCCCCAGTTATATTCAATGGAGCGTCTGCGCTATCCTGCCGATTCTGACGGGCAAGTGCGAGTAAAAGGCCTTTTTTCTCGTTTTACGCTTGAACAACTAAATGAATGCCAAAGTTTATTTAACTGAATGTATTTTAATTATATTACAACATGAATGCTGTAAAAGGAACCGTATACAATGGAAAAAAACTCACAATAATCGGTCACCGGAAGTTTATAAGTATACGGGAACAACACTAGCTCGGCATATACCCAATTATATTCATCCGTCTCCATATTCTACTGCATCCCAGAATATTACACAGCACCAAAAATGTAAAATATATATAAATATATTGAATATATTTTATATATTTTTGTGTACGGCAGACGGCAACTCGCCGTGACGCAGATTCCCGAGTCTGCTCCAATCAGGTGAGCCCTCTTCAGCGCTCGCCATGACAACGAGACAGCAGTGACGTGCTTTGTAAAAATTTGCATCTGCATCCCTATAAAGCTCGTGTGCTCTCTGTCAGCGTTGTCAGTTCGCTCGGTGTTGCTGTTTGTACTTGACCAAGGTGAGTTCAATACCGACGGTACGAGTGGAGCCACGCCAATCTCACGAAGTCCGCTTCGTGAAGCTTCACTCGGGCCCGTCTGTGCTGTAGTTCCTTGTGGTTTACGTACATAAACGTAACATCGCAAGGAATATTACGTGTTTGTTGCTCGAAATGTGCCGCCGAGCAACATCCAGTGAATACTGGCACGGCCTGGCGCCCGGTCTTTCCGTGCACTCCCTGGGGCGAGGCGGCCTTTGAGCCCTAGGCAGGGAACAAACAACCCCCGAGGACCCTCAGGGAAACACGGGGGGGGGCGGTAGTGTGACCTCGCTGCGAGGGTTATGGTGGGTGGGAGTAGCGAGGCCCACTCATCGTCTATTTTAAACTATAGTTTCAAACTTTAGTTTACTATAGTTTGAAATAGACACCATGGTAACTGTTATGATTTAACTTCATGCAAAGAGCTTAGAATGACCAAGAGCAATTTGGATTCCCGGATTCCGTCCATTGGATCTCATTGCTGTCGCGATGGAAAGCAGCTGCTTTGTTTTTATTTAATTTATTCAAAAAGCGCGTTATTGTTTCCCAAATTGTAGAGTGTCGTCTCTTGGTGATTCTATGCTCTTTGCTCTTTGTCTGACTGTTTTAATGTTTTGCTTTGTTTTTCAGCTAAGCTGTTGAGCAAAGAAGACAACTGAGGGTTATCACGAGCGCGCGAGTTATGTTTCCGGGTTGTTTTCTGAAAATTTGTCTTGTTTGCATGTCAAACTAAATAAACTATACTCTTTCTAAACACCTGTCTCGTGTTTTATTTGTCCTCTACAGCAATGCACTGTCATGTTAGTCTGTTGAATGCATTTGTATGCAACATGGTTTGACAATACAGTAGTCTAACAAATAAATGGTTGTTATAAAGTACCTTCATTAGTCAACATTTGGTGTAGGTATAAAAAAGGTAAAGATGTCCTAAGACATAAGGGTTATGTTATGGTTGTTTCATAACTATATTTATTATTGTTCTGTATGTTTAAAACCAGCAAATTATACTATATATTTAACATGTCATGAACTTACTGTTATTTTAAAATTTGTTTAATAAAATGTCCAAATACAAGAATGAGTGTTGTTTTTGTTTTATGTCAACCTACAGTAGGATTTAGGTTGATTACAGCAGGTATAGGCTACATACATCATAGGGAGTTTTTAATGACCCAAATCAAGTAAAACGTCTCTTACTCAAGTACTTTTAGCATGCAAAAGTCAAATTTAAGTATATAAAATACAGTTTCCAACAACAAATTTTTGTCTTGTGAAAAAGACCAGTGTGGTGGTGAGAAAAAGTAATATCAAGTTATATATATTTATAAAAGAAGTTGAACAAGTTGTCATAATATTTAGTCATTAGATTATGTGACCGCTAGATGGCGCTCAATTAAAAGGAGCGTTTATTTCAAAGGAGCGCTACCCTGTACTAAAATGGCGGCTCTATTGACGCATTCCTCCTAATAGACAACATCAGGGTAAGCGACATCCAAATGTTTTTATTCATTTTGGCATGACAGGAGCGAACAAGGATACTAAAGAGTGACAGAGTCCACAAAACTGCTCTCTGGTTGCTTTTCATTTGATGAATATTATCTTTTAGAGCTTCAAGTCTTGCTTCAGGTTTTTCCCTCAGGTGTTTCTCGTCAGATTTGTCGTCTTAGAAAGGCAGGCCCGTCGCTACAGGGGGGCAAAGGGGGGCATTGCCCCCTTATAGAAAGAAACTTTCCAACTTTCAGAACACACATTTGAATATTTTAAAATATATGACATAGCAATTAAATTATGAAAATGGTGAGATTAAAGCTAGTCCTATAGTCCAGAGATCCGGTCCCTGCGTCAGGTCAGGTGCGCCCGTAAGTAGCCTTTAAAACGCGCACACGGCGATGGATGCGCACTCAACTAACAAGAGAGAAAATTATTAGTTATTCAGTAATATGTAGACTAATAATTTTTTTTTATAAAAATTAATGGTTTACTGCACAGTCCCACAGTAGGCTACACTATAAATAATATTTTAATTTATTTTTTTATATTATTATTAATATTATTACAATTAAGCTAAAATTGACAAAACGCAGAACAGCAGTCAGGTATAACACATAATAAATGCCTTTTGCGTTTAAAGATGATCGGCCTGCGAAGTCAAGTTTGCAGTGTTATATAGTGCTTAAGTGGAATTACCGCGGATCAACCGAGAAACCTCGTGCGCTGCAGTTAGGCAGAATGATAATATTTTAAAAATATGTAATTTAGGCTATATACTGCTATTTGCTCATGCAAAATTAAACAACATTAAATATATTGTAGATCTATTTTAAGAGCTAAAATACAACATATCGAGTTTGTTTTGACTTGTAGCTCATGGCCCTAAAATGAAAATAACCTGAAAACAAGCAATTAAAGAAAGGCTTAATAAAAAAAAATTAATAAATAAAATGACGGGTAGGCCTAGTAACCTTATGGTTTATGATGGTTTACAATATCACGAAAAAAACACACTTATGATAGCCTAAGATAAATCTTAGGATTAAAAAAAAGTTATAGGCCTAGCATATTGAGTTGCGTGTTATCCGTGCCAAAATTTAACCAATTTTCACGGTATTAACATGTGAATTTTGGTATCTTTTTTAGGTATTTTTCTGGCTACACTAATGCCTTTAAAATATAACTAAGTAATTGTTTTAAATGACATTAGATTGTAACATTTAGCTTTTCCCTAACACTGATGTTGGTTGGATAATATATAGGCTACGTGAAGCGGGATGACTCGGTTAAGCTGATTTCACTATATTTATTTACCGGTTTAATGAATTGTCTGATCGTGGGTCAGCTTGCATGTGTGGGCATAATTTGATTTCTTTACCTAAAACTTTAAACATTCATATTCCTGTTATTTGAAATAAAACGAAAATTAGGAGAATAACATGTTTTAAAGCACTCGTTTCGTTTGGCACTGAAGCCATGATCCGTCTGCATTAATAAGCGGTTTGCATTACCATCGTTAATAAAATTCGTAATAGCGAAACTGCATATTGTTATTACTATTAAAACGTAGCCTATATTACTGCCTTAGTTCAGTAACTTAGGCAGTAATGCAAAGTAATAATAAATGTGAATAAATAGCCTAAATAAAAGAAACAAGAGACCAAAATCAGTCACCAGGTCTAGTGCCCCAATATGGATTTAAAGTGCCCCCTCAGTTTGAACTTCCTGGCGCCGGGCCTGAATGTGAGGAATACAAGGTACACACACAAACACACACACAAACACACCCTCTCTCTCTCTCTTTTTGACAGAATAAAATTATGAATAAATGAAATAATGTTAGTAATAGAAAGTCAGAGCAAGTTTCTTTTAATAGCAAGTGCAAGTGTTTGAGGAGCAGAGTTTATTTTGAGGTCCCACAACCATTTTGTATTTCAAATTATGTCTTTTTAATAATATGTGACACCATGAAAAAAAAAATCAATATGGTGGATTTCAATGGATGTCTTTACAAAAACAGGACCATAAAAATAAGCCGACTGCTGACTCGCACCTTGACACTGATTCCCAACACTGTTGGCATTGAGACTGTCCTTGGCAGATAGCAAGCCTTAAAAACACACCGCCCTCTAGTCTGCTCCAGCTTCTGAGGACTTGTTACACCTCTGAGTTCTCCAGTCCCTGCTCACTCGAACAATTCCATCAGAGTGGCAAAACCCAGCAGTGAATTGGCATTGCTGGCAGTTTCCATGGCTCTTTCAGGAGAAGTGTGTGTGGTGACAGGAGCCTGTGGGTTTCTTGGAGAAAGGCTGGTTCGACTGTTGCTGAAGGAGGAGAAGCTTGCTGAGATCCGACTGCTGGATAGAAACATCCGCTCTGAGCTAATACAGTCTCTTGATGGTTAGTGGATATTTCCATCACAGTATTTGGTCACACTTTACAATAAGGTTCGTTAGTTAATGTTAATTAATGCATTTACTAACATGAACAAACATTGAACAATACATTCACTACAGTATATATTCATGTTAATAAACGTTAGTTAATGAAAATACAGTTATTCATTGTTAGTTCATGTTAACTCATGGTGCATTAACTAATGTTAACAAGCATGGACTTGAATGTTAATAATGCATTAGTAAATGTTCAATTATGATTAATAAATGCTGTACAAGTGTTGTTCATGATTAGTTCATGTTAGTAAATGCATCAACTAATGAACCTTATTGTAAAGGGTTGCCCAGTATTTTCTCATCTATCAATTTTTTTTATTTATTGTCTGTACAAGCGGTGTGTACAAAATTTTTGGGGGGAAGGCAATTGAATATGCAGCAGCTTTTTCATAGAGCAACTTGCAAATTAAGTTTCAGAGTAAGAAGTTGACCTCATTACATTTAAGAATATTTTGAATGATTTGGAGTTTGAAACACTGATTGTAGATCCTCTGACTAGTTAATAATAAATGTAATATTATGTGTGTTATGATGGGTGATTGATATAATACTGATAATAATAGTTAATTAATATTAATATATTGAAGGGATAATTACAGTTTGAACCCAAAAATCACCAGTCTGTAAGATGAAGAGGAGTCAGAGATTCGAATAAATAAAGTTTACTGAAGATAGTTTCCTCAGCAGAAGCCAGCTTCAACACTCGTCTGCTTACTGCTTACTGCTTTGCTTACGATCACAAATCAACAACAATTATACTCTTACATAACAGCATTAAATGCGTCATAGATAGGTGTTTTAACCTGAGTTCCACATGGGTGCGTTCGTACAACTCTGAACAAAATCTCAATATCTCAAGCATTCAACGTCAGACAGCCCCTAGGCTGTTTAGAGCTGACCCCAGTACTCTGAAAAGATCTACAATCAAATAAAACACTCACTCACACACACACACACACACACACACACACACACACACACCCAAAGTACAAGCTGTTCCTTACCCAAAACTAAGTATACTCTCAGCCATCTTTATCAAAACTGGTTAAAAACCAGTATAATCTACATTCAGGAGCAGTTTTGTATATTCTCACTACAAAACCACTTTAAACAGAGTTAATGTTACACATAATAATGAACACATGATAATAATAATATCAAAATCACTTATTTACACACAGCAATAAAAAATACGTATATCATCAAGCCCTTTTGGTTTTGAGTTTGGTGGCTCCCAAAGTTACAAAGAGAGGGGCAAATGCAATGAACATTCTTATATGAAGCAATGTGTTAACTTTATTCATTAGTCAAAACCATTTCAGGATTAAATACTGATTCAAATAATAATATTAATAAAGTAATGAGAAAAGCATAAACATTGATCCTTTCTGGGATAGATTTGAAGACAAAATGTGACCCCATCAATATCTATTTCATTAGTATATACACAGCGGCTCAATTGGTTAGCACTGTCGCCTCACAGTAAAAATAAAGAATGTAGTTGATGTAAGCCATTCATAAGGCACTATCTTCTCATTTTAAAGCATGAATTAGGGCAAAACATACATTACTGTGAATCTGCTGTTTCTCTGTGTGCTCAGATTGCCGGGGAGAGACTAAAGTGAGTGTTTTCGAGGGCGATATCAGGAATCCTGAGCTGCTGAGGAGAGCTTGTAAAGGAGCAGCGCTTGTTTTTCACACTGCGTCTCTCATTGATGTCATTGGAGCATTTGAGTACAGTGAACTGTATGGAGTTAATGTCAAAGGTAAGTGTGTTTGGCACATAAAAATGAAACCAATTGAGATACAGTGCTCAGCATATAAAAGTACACCCTTCACAAATCTCTCTTTTAAATTCATATTTTTAATAGGAGGCTACACAATATTATATTTGTGCATATACATTAGATTAGTCAGTACTGAAGCCAAATCTAATAAAATAACTTACCATAACAGTCCAAAAACTAGTACACAGTTTATATGTTAGAGAAAAATTTTAAATACAAATTTAAAAACGAGGAAAAATCAAGAGAAGCAAAAATATGAAAAATTGTTGTATATTGTTATTTATTCTTGCAATATTTTTCTTGAACTTAATTGTATTATGTTGTTACTAAAATATTATTTGAATAATTATATCTGTTTAATAAATCTGTTTTGTTGCACTAAAATACCTTGCCTATATTCACTGATAAATGGGGAAAAATATTCATTTTCAAAATAGGGTGTACTCAGTTATTCTGAGCACAGTATAAGGAGGAAAATGATTTCAAAAGACAGATTCCAATAATAATAATAATAATAATAATAATAATATTACAACATGGCGATAAATAGGTTATTTTGCCTTTAAGGAAAATTACTGAACATAAACATATGGCTGAGAAAAATGCTCATTTCAGAAGAAAGTTTGAGATTGCACAGACACTGCTCTCTCTGCCTGATGGGCTCATTTAAAACTTGGGTTTTATATTTGAGTCTGAAAAAAATGTACAAAGTACAATCTTTATTTGCCAGTCCTGATACATTTAATATTACTATTTTGCATGTATTATTTTTGCAATAAATTTGAATTTTACTGCAAATGATTTTTGAATTTCCAGAAAAGAAAAAGAAAAAGAAAAAAAAAAAATATATATATATATATATTGAAATCTCTTTAAACCAGCAGCACCATAAACAGCTGTTTTTTATAAAATAGAGCTTTGTGAAAACAAATAAATAAGTGGAAATTTAGCAAATAATAATGTACATTGTAAAAAAATCGTTAAAAAAAGGGTCAAATGACTGGCGGCTATGGCTGCCAAAGAAAAATCATAAAATTATGGAAAAAATTTCATTGTTGAAATAAAGTGCAAAAATAATAAATCTACAGATATTTTCATTAAAACGTTTACAGAAAAACACTTTTATTTTACAGACTTTTCCTAGATTATTACGATCAAATTCATTCAATAGTTACACAATAAGAGTTTTACAAAGAAACACTGTTATTTTACAGACTTTTCAGAGATTATTATGACCGAACAACATCTATAAAGTGACTGCACTATAAAAGTTAAAGAGAAAACAAAACAATTTAACAGAATTCTCCCTAAATCATTACGATTAAATACTTTTCACAAAATGTCAAGACATGCTCAAGGTTGTAATTAAAAAGTTTTATTTTGGATCAAAAAAGTCTGGAAAAAAACAACATACAAGATAAAACTGATTAAAATTCTCACAACTTTAAATCACAAGAATTAAAAAAAAAACTGTTAGCATCAACCTTAATATAATGAGGTGCTATTACTTTAGTTTTACCTAATTTTAAATGTTCTTCAAAAAACAGGAAAAAAACTGTGTGTAATTGTATAGTTTAAAACAGACAAATTATTGTAATTTGTCATTAACTATGCAATACTTAAAATAACAGTCAAGCCGTTAATTTACAGATATTGTTTGTAATTTTTACGGAGTTTTGAATGCACTTTAAAATAACATATAAATATAAATAATAAAGTAATTTCCCTGTATAAAAAAATAAAAATTACAGTAATTTGTCTTTAATGATAAAGTACTTAAAATGAAAGTCAAACTTAATTTAGAGAGATTGTTACAGTAATTACTCTAAAATATTACTGAAAAAAAATTAACATCTTTGCAGGATTTTTTTTATATATATATATACATATTTTTTTTTTTACGGTGTAATAATTATTATTAGGGTCTGTGGAATACAAAAGGTTGAAAACCCTTGGTTTAAGCACAATGGTCTCAAACTCAGTTCCTGGAGACCCACGGCTCTGCACAGTTTAGCTCCAACCACCTCTAACTTACAACAGCCTAACAGTCTCTAGTAGTCTTGAACACCTTGATTAGTTGTATCACCTGTGTGTGATTAGGATTGGAGCAAAATTGTGCAGAGCTGCAGCCATCCAGGAATCTAGTTTGAGACCTATGGTTTAAGATACATTCTTTAAAATACTTACAAGAGCTTTGCACGCTGGTCTGTTACAGAGGCAATACCTTTATATTTTTACTCTCCTAAACATAACACCTAACGAAACTAACTGTACACAATTATTTTGTTCGCTGTCAGGTTTAGGCAGGTGAAAATGTCTGACTGATATGTAAAGCATCCAATCAATTAGAATTGTCATGTTAATTAGATGAGTCAGTCCTTGACTGTCATGAGTCTAAAGGTCTGGCATGATTTCTTGATAGTGGCACAGCACAGGTATTCTATTATTCTTCTGCGTGAGCCAATCTTCTGATTTTATAGACCATTTTAAGGGATGTAAACAATAACAATGGTCCTAGTGTATTTCCTGTATTGCATTTGTAATTTCCATAGTGTCCAAGAATCCTAAAAGGTCCACGTATTGATAAATAATGTTATGATGGCTGTTTAACATTATGATTAAATTGCCTCTTTTTATAGTTTCGAAATACTTTGACAACAGGAAATGTTCATGGGCCAGTGAAACCACCACATCGAAATGGTCTATATGGTCCTTGCAATAGAAATACAAGTAAAGCCATTCATTATCTCCAACTGATAATGAACTGAGATATGCAACTGAATATCCAACTGAAATATGCCCATTGAATGCTAAAGAAAAATATTTGTGTTTGTTTTTCTTTGACAGCAACAAAGCTGCTGCTTGAGACATGCATCCAAGAAAACGTACCCTCCTTCATTTACACCAGCAGCATTGAGGTGGCTGGTCCCAATCCCAGTGGTGAACCAATCATCAACGGCAATGAGGACACCCCATACTCCTCTCGCCTTAAATTCAGCTACAGCAAAACCAAGAAGGAGGCCGAAGAGATTTGCCTGCAGGCCAATGGAGATCTGCTGTGTAACGGAGGTCAGCTCGCTACCTGTGCACTGAGGCCCATGTACATCTTTGGACCAGGCTGCCGATTTACTTTAGGCCACATGAGGGATGGAATCCGCAATGGAAATGTGCTGCTGCGAACCTCACGCCGTGAGGCTAAAGTGAATCCTGTATATGTGGGAAACGCAGCCCTGGCACATCTACAAGCAGGACGGGGACTCAGAGATCCTCAGAAAAGGGCCATGATGGGAGGAAACTTCTATTACATCTCAGACAACACGCCACATGTCAGCTATTCGGACTTTAACTATGCTGTTCTGTCCTCTTTAGGCTTTGGGATACAAGAGAGGCCAATTCTGCCCTTTCCGCTCCTGTATATTCTTTCTTTCTTCATGGAGTTGCTGCACGTTGTGCTCCGACCCTTCCTAACGTTTACTCCACCCTTAAATAGGCAGCTACTGACCATGCTTAACACGCCTTTTAGTTTCTCATATCAAAAGGCTCACAGGGATTTCGGCTACACCCCTCGCTATGAATGGGAAGAGGCGCGCAAATGCACTACTGATTGGTTTGCATCTGTCTTACCTGCAGAAATACGATCAATTAACTTGAAATAAACTCGCATGTTGTTTATGACTTTAACTGCCTGTTGGTTAAACGTGCCAGTGTTTAATAATTCAATATATTGTGATAAGGAACAAGCATGGTTCAGATCAGTTGTGTTTTTTAAAGTAACATTAACAAAACTTCTGTAACAAATGTAGCTATTTCTTACTATTGATGTTAGTTATTATAGTGCATTAACAATTACTAATGAGACCTTATTGTTAAACATTACTTATTGTATCTTTATAAACCCTTTGCTATTAAATTAGTTTGAAGTTTTTTGCTCTGAGCATTTACATAAATTATTATACCTGTTAAAGTATCCCTTTTTGCGGTCTATGTCAATCTTGTGAGAATTATTTCAGGATAAAAGCTTCAGCAATTATTGCAACAACAAAAAAAAAGTTTAATGCATTATATGCCTACTGTTGGATTTCCTACATTCAACTTAAGGTGTCTAATGCGCTTTATCAACAGAACATGGTTTTTATTACTGAATATGTTTCAGAAATAGTGATTAATTGGCTTTCAATGCTATCTGCCTGCCTTCAGTGGAGATATGCAGTCTCAGCTTGCATCATCAAGGCTACATCCAGATACTATTGGCGTCTTGGACAATTTTACATTTGGGGTCGATTGTCAAACGTAGGCCTACTTTAAATACTTCAATTTGAATAAATAAATACATGTATAATGTGATAATTGATTAATGTTTGAGTCTGTATGCATGTGTGTATTTTAGGCTATCCCTCCGCTGTCTGTTATAGTCATTCAATGGTGATAATTGTGTTAAGCAAAGCTACCAATAGGAGGCAAAGTGAGCCAGGTTTGGGTGTGGCACGGTAAAACAATATGTTAACAGTTTGTGAGCTATTGCAATTTCATTAAACACTTAATGTGATAATATGATGAGTGATGTTAGTGAAAAGATTATTATTAAGTCTTAATGATTACGCCACAAGATGGCGACAAAGTACTTGTCTTTTTAAAATTATTTTACGAAACAGAAGAGTGCATTTATTTTTGAAACAGTGATATTGCGAAATGATATTACATTTACAAATAAAAAATGTTATCTATCTTTTAAATATTAAATAGTTTATATTTTAACCCTTGTGGGGTGTTCGTATTTTTGTTTCTCAGGCTGTGTTCGATTAAACTAATCGATGGACCCGCTAGAAAAACTGGTCTGATGGACCCGCTAGAGCAGGGGTGGCCAACCCTGTTCCTGGAGAAGCACCTTCCTGCAGATTTCAGTTACTACCCATATCAAACACACCTGAACCAATTAATTAGGACCTGAACACCACGTGATAATTACAGGCAGGTGTGTTTGATATGGGTTGCAACTGAGAGGATAAACTGTGCAGGAATGTAAGAGCAGACAGTGTTGATAGTTGAATTTTCAACAATGTTGCAACTTTGTGTAGGAACACTGGACCTACACTTTCAAGACTTTTATTAGACCTGGGTCCAATGGACCCGAACACCTTGTATGTAATGTAAATGTGTGGGGGAGGTACATTATGCGGTCATTGAAAATTTGCTTTTTTAAAATTTATGTTCTTCACAGAAAAAATAAGCTAAAGCCAATGAATTTCAGGTTGAAAAAATAAATGGCTTAATTTTTCTTTTGAAAAAAAACTGAAAACGGGTCTCACAGACCCGAACACCATACAAAGGTTAAAAAAGCATTTAAGTTATTGTAATGGCAAAGCTAGGAAAACAGTTACTCCACAATGAAGACGAGAGACTGGTTAGTTTTAATATATTTAATACCAACACACAGCAAGACTGCTTGTGTTTGATCAGAACTACACCAAATAAATATTGTGAAATTTTTTTTTTTTTTTAAATTACTGATTTTCAAATTTTTTTTTTTATATTCTTTTAAAAGGTCCAACGTGGTTTATAAACCTTTTGAAGTCATTAAGTCACTGTGATAGCAAAACATAATTACGCCACTAGATGGAGACAAGCTACTTTTACTGTAAGTTAATAAACACCTCACAGAAAGGTACAGTAAGGGTGTATTTATTTAATCCAAACACAGTAAATGCATAATACCGTGAAATGTTATTACAATGTTATTAAATATAATTATGTTATCATATATTTAAAACGTCCTTTATATCTTGATCCTAGGCTCATATTTAACATGATTCCAGTCTTCAGTGTCACATGATCTGTCAGAAATCATTCAAATATGCTGATTTGGTAGTAAACAAAACATTTATTATTAATTTAAATCTTGAAATCATTTGTGCTGGCTATTTTTGTATAAACGGGGATGCATTTTTTTCCAGAATTGCTCAATATAAATTCTACAATTGCTACATGATGTTACTAACCCTTAGGCATGGGATGATAACCAGTTTCAAGGTTTACCTCTGTTTGGAAAAGTCACAGTTTCGAAACCGCTAAATTTTTCTGTTTTACAGTTTCTGCAGTATATCTCCAGCAGCAAATAACCATACACATCAACCATACACAACAACATGTGAGAAACAAGTAGCTTATGCACCTACATACAAGCATACTATGGACCTGAACAGTGCCAAAGATGCATTTTCAAGTTGTAAAAAAATCTTTGAAACTAATTACAGAACTCGGTGATTTATTTTAATTATATATCCTGCTTATTTACTGCTCCAAAATATTTTAAATGTTCCTTAAAGTATAATATATATTGATTTCAATAGGAGAAAAAGTTTCAGACATTTAAAAATATATATATATATTTTAAATCAAAAACCACAATACTGTCAAACTGTGATATTTTTATTCAAGGTTATCATACAGTCAAAACCTTATACCGGCCTATGCCTACTCACCATCCACTTACTCCAGCATCTATTAGTTTCCTTCTTTTGTTAAAGCATTTCTTTTTTAAGAAAATGCTGGGGAAAAAAAGTAGCCAATGACTTCCATTGTATTTTTTCCTATTAATGTACTGGTTTTAAACCAGAGAAAGGAAACTCATAGTGTTGGAGCCACTTAAAGAGACAGTTCACTAACAAAATGGAAATTCTATCAAACTCAACATTCCACTTCTTTCAAATGTGAATGAATTTAGTTTTTTTTTTAGGTATAAAATAAAGGTGTTTTAAAGAAGACATAGTAAATAAAGCTGGAAGTCATTGACTTACATTTTTTTTCCTACAATGAATATCAATAGCTGCTATTTCCCAACATTCCTCAAAGCATGTTTTTGTGTGTTCAACGGGGAAAAAACTCAAAAAGAGGCCACTTTTCTGAACCACATTTATTTTCCTGTAAACTATCCATTTAAGCTTTGTGGATAAATGCTGTAAGCAAAAACTTAAAGTCAGATTATTAGCAAGATTCTATGAAGCTATAGTTAAGACATAACAAACTAATCTCTGTGCAACTAATGACTTTTATAGTCCTTTTTAAAACATAAAAACACATTTCACAACTACGATATCCAGGAGAATGCTACATAGCACATGTAGCTGCAGGACAGGCAGGCTTTGTTCTCGACGTCAGTTTGAATGTTTGATCTTTGTTCTGCTGAGAGCTTTGAGTTCAACGCTGGCTGTGAACTCAGTTTTTCATGTCTCCAAGATTTAGAGTATTCTTACCCTCCACGTGTCTGTCTGGGTTTTCATGGGCTCTGCTCTAGTGAGAGCAGCTTCCTTGTGTCGGAGTGTTTTGTGCTCTTATCCAAGGCAGGGGGGATCTGCGCATGCCTGTGGGGGGAGGAGAAGGACACGTGAACAAAAGCTCCTCGATGTCACACAGGAAGTTCAGGAACTCATCCAATCACTCTAAAGAAAAGGCCTGTTTCCTTCGCATACGCTTACAGCTACAAAACTCTACGGTAAACCTACATAAACTGCTGGTTTTCAAATTTTAAAGAATTTAAGGGTTTACAGGTTTACTACTACACAGTGATTTACTGACACATGTAAGTGTAAATGAGTTGAATAAGTAAGTAAGCTATATACCACACATGAAACACATACCCAGAAGTCACTGGTATATATAGCCGTCCTCCAGACTCCCAGCTCGTGCTTGCTTCGGCAGCACATATACTAAAATTGGAACGATACAGAGAAGATTAGCATGGCCCCTGCGCAAGGATGACACGCAAATTCGTGAAGCGTTCCATCTTTTATTTATTGATTGATAATTATTGATTAACAGTAATTCATAATTTCTACTGTATTCAGTAAAAAAGGAGTTTAAGCGTTCAGTACGTAGCGCATCCGCTAGATGGCGCCATTGCACTGCCAGCCGCGCATTAGAGCATCTCACTGTCCACAGCACATTCAACTCGGGTTAAATCAAGTAAACAGCATCAAATGAATATCTTTTAACGCTAAAACATATTAGCATTGATTGCATTTACCATCCAAATGACTCTTACGTTTAAAGTGTATCGCCATCGTTAACAATAACTGCATCTTGCGAGCAGTTCTAACGTACACGATATCGAACTAGAATGATTATATAGCATAAATTCTGACGTATAAAAGGACTGAAATGCACTTACCGTCACTTGTGTTACTTGTGCATGGCTGGACTGAAACGCTTGCGTCGATTGTTGTTCTTTTGCAAGTCTACCTGAAAACGCAGATCGAAGTCAAGTTAAAGGAACAAAAAAACATAACGTAAAAACTTACTCACAGTGACTGTCTACATTCAGCATCATGATGATTCTTCAAACTGTTATAAATGCATCATAATCGTTAATAGCTGCAAATCTCAAACCTGCGCAAACCATCGACACAAACTCAACCTAACCTTGTTTATGCACTTACTTGGACTGACAAAAGTAGCGCCGTGATTCCTTGTATTCTATCTTTTGTAAGCCTAAAACGCAGATCGAAAACGACAATCAAGTAAAAGTTACATTGAAACATTTTCAAGTAAAACTCATGTTACTGCATGTACCAAATATATCATGGTGATGAGTTCGACGTCACAGTTTCCCTACGCGGTCACGGCATGTGAAGTGTCACGCTGCGCTGTGGCTAAACAGAAAATAGTGCCAGTGTGAAAGCACTGTTTGGGTACTGTACAGCATTGTCCCCTGTCACAAAATGTTTTCAATTCAAATGAAAAGTTATATATGTATTTTTGTATTTATTGTATTATATATTTTCACACACAGACAGACACACAAAGGCCTATAAACATATATTATATATATATATATATATATATATATATATATATATATATATATATATATATATATATATATATATATAATTATATAATATGTTGCTATTTGCACCGTATCCATCAATGTATTATAATTTTTTGGGAATGATTTTTTTGTTTTGTTTCGTTTTGTATAGGTATATAAGATTTGTGATGTGATAAATGCACCTTTTGTAATAAAGGAACATTTCTTAATTTAAGGTATCATTTTATGGGGATGATTTGGTGTTTTGCTTCACATCAAGGATTTGCTATTTTGAAAACCAAAGGAAATTCCTATAAGCTACTGTAAATTTTCTTATTCCTATGAGAAAATTTTATTTTCACAAACAAAAGTTTCTTAACAAAATATTGACTCTTACAGATGCTAAGTAGAGCATTTAATGAAATCCTTTTGAATATTTGATTATAATAAGACATTTGTTTCTTTTAAACTATCCTGATATTTTTATTTTGCTTGCATTCCTTTTTCTTTTATCATTTGTGGATATTGTGCACAGATGAGTGCATTTATTTAACATATTAAGATATTATTTAAAATGTTCTAGATTGCAAAAATATGTGTTTGCTTCATTGTACGATTTCTTAAAATGTTAATAAAAATGTTTGGTAAAATGTTTTGAAACAAGCAATCTCTCCATAAGTTTAAGAAGTGTTTCTTTAAAATGTTTTTACAAGCAATGTTAAGATGCCTGAATCAAACCAAGAACAAAAAAATGTTATAAACAATGGTAACTGCAAATTAGCAAATGTAGAAACTAATTGGAACCTTTATATGTGTTTTAATATTTTTTATCCAGCTATTTTACCTACTGGTTCTTAGCTGTACTTTATTTACTATTGGGGAATTCCTGCCAGTGGCCATTTCTGACATATTTCTTCAATTACAGTTTTTTACAATGGCTATGACACTTTATTCAATACATTTAACAGGTTTCCTAAACTCTTAACGCAGCAACACACCTAAAACACACAATTGGCAAAACAGTTAATCTCATGCTCAAAATCCCACAATGTAAACTCAATCTCTAAACTTCTTTTCAAAATACAATAATAAACTAACAAAATACACCATGTCTAACAAAACACTGTAAACATGTTTTAAAATGAAATAATTGTTCAAAACACTAACACATGTACTCTTCCAACATAAACATTTAGTCAATCATACACACTGACAATAAAAACACTATCATCAGCTGACATTACAGAAACTGCATTTTTATTTGATGTGTCAGGTCTGCCCTTATATTTGAAGCCTCTCTACATTTTTGTGTTGTTGGGTTTAGTACAGCATGCATTTTGTTTCTTATGCTGCAGAAATTCAATGCAAAAAATGAACGACCATCTTAGAGTAGCTTTAAAAAAGTTACAGTTTACTGCATGTTATATACAGTTTATGAGCAAGATATACACACAGAAAAGCACCGCAATTATAATTTAAAAACAAAGTAATTTTCTATTCTGCCTGGTCTTCTGCATTTGCCCGACTTCTTCTCTGGCCAAGCATGGTAACGGTGGCCCTTTGGCCTATTATGTTTCTCCTATACGGCGTCGCCTTTTTGCCAAGTTGAAGCCAGCCTCGTCAACATAGATAATTTCATGTGGGACTTGATTGACCTCCAACTCCATGACTCTCTAAAAGTAATTAGACACAGTTTAAATGCTTTACTGTACTGTATAACTAATGTATGTAAAAATTAACGCCAGGTTTATAGAGTAGTTTACTGCAAAACACACTGTGCATAGTAAAGTAACCACTGTATTGCATAACCATACCTGGACGTAATTCGTGGAGGAGTTGCGCTCACTGTTAATTTCAAAAACCTCCTGAGTTCTCTTTTAGAAATTTTTTTTTGTAATATGATCATGTAAAACCTCAACACATGAGTGTGCCATGAGTGAACCATGAATGTGGTGCCTAAATGGGAATAATCTGTGATATATATACAGGCACGTGCACACATAGGGCTCAACCTGTGCAGTGCACATGCCCTTTTTAGTCTTGGATAGAAAGTGCCCTTCCAAAATGATCAAAAGTGCCCCCTGCGACACATGTCGCGTGCCTACTGTCCTGAAGCAGTAGGCACGCGATAACACCGCTCTTGAGTACGCGCGCGACAACACCGCTCTTCTTAAGTACGCGCGCGATGACAACAACAACAACAACAACAACAACAACAACAACAACAACAAACCCCCCGCTCTTCAAAAAATGTATCCTGCACATGCCCTTTGGACAGTCTCTGCACGGGCCTGTATATATATATATATATACACACACACACACACACACACACACACACACACACACACACACAAACACATAACTGCAATAAGCTTTTTCTCACTAGCAATGTAATAAAATACAGGGAATATATATTTGTGTTTCAATTCACAATTCACTTTGACTTTAGCCTATAAGTTGTGTTTAGATCATGGTGTTATCTGTTCTGACATTCTGTGTGAAAGTATTTGTAAATTTGACTGTAAAATTACGTTGTTTTGGTCTTGATTGAGTTTGTGTGTAAAAGTAGTTCAAGCATTTTAAATTTGTGTTAACTGGATGCATTTTGTGTCAAAACAACAAGAAATGTGTTAATTGTATAGCCCATGAAGACGGATGTTGTGCTAACCGTGTTAAGAGTTTAGGAAACTTGTTAAATGTTGTCACCATCCTGCAGTTTGTCTCCATTCCCCTAGAGGTCCCCGTGTTTCCACTCTGTATTTGTTCTTCCTCATGTGTTCTTGTTTACTTAATTTAGATCACCTGTGACTTGTTCCAGCCAGTGTATTTAAGTTGTCACTTTGTCTGTGTTCCTCACTCGGTGTTTGAGTCATCTCTGGTGAACTTGCCTTGCGTTTCCCTTGATCTCCTGAGCTACGTCTAGTAAGAGTGTTTTATTTTCCTTGTTGCTGACTGCATTAATTATCTGTTTGTTTTCTCCCCTCGTGGAGTTTTCTTTACATGTTTATTATACTGTTAGAGTATTTTGTATACCTCATTCTGAGAAGAACCTAAGTTGTCTGTTTTGCTACCTCATTTTTGAGAAGAACCTAAGTTGATCTTTTTTTTTTAATAAATCCTTGTTTTCTGGATTCCCTCTTGGAGTGTTTTCGTTTGGGTCCAACACAACTTCCTCTGTGGCTTAGTGGTATACACATCGGTTTCCACACCAGAGACCCGGGTTCAAGACCCGGTCGTGACAGAAACACCGAGTCAGACATGGACCCAGAGGCACTCAGTACCAAAGATCTGTTGGCAGTGATTGGCAGTCATGAAGCTTCGTTCCAGCGTCATGAAGAGGTTCTCCGTCGTCAAGAGGAGGTGATGACAAAACACTCAGAGCTCCTTGCTGATGTCACTTCGTCCATTTGGCAACTCTTTCAAAGCCTTCCTGGGGTTTCTTCTCCTGCTTCTCCTGCTGCACCACCCCTAAGTACCAACAGTCCTCCCATAGCTCCAGTAGCTGCTGCAGAGCCCAGACTTCCACCCCCCAAGCCATTCTCAGGAGATCCTAGTTCCTGTCAGGGATTTCTCACCCAGTGCTCTCTCACTTTTGAGCTTCAGCCCTCAAGTTTTCCCACTGACCGCTCAAAGATCGCTTATATTATCACCCTTCTGACTGACAAGGCATTGTCTTGGGCCTCTGCGGCATGGGAGTCCCAGCCTAGTTATTGCCAGTCATACACAGCCTTTGAGAAGGAATTCAAGAAGGTGTTCAATCACCCAGTTAGTGGACAGGAGGCTTCCAAACGTCTCCTTACTCTCCGTCAAGGTCCTCGCAGCGCTGCAGACTTCGCCATTGAATTTCGAACTATTGCAGCAGGTAGTGGATGGAATGACGAGGCCTTAAGAGTCTGCTTTCTGGGCGGATTAGCTGAATCCATTCAAGATGAGATGGCCACCCGGGAACCAGCCAAAGACCTAGAATCCCTTATTGATATGGCCATTCGCCTTGATATTCGCTTGAGAGAACGGAGAATGACTCGAGGCAGAGCATCCCAGTCCCAAACTCCTGTTCACAAACCTGCATCTCCAGTTCATGCTCCACCAGTCAGACTTCCCCCAGTCAATGAACAAGCTCCCGAGCCTCCAGAAGATATGCAGCTAGGTCGTTCCAGACTCTCTCCCAGTGAAAGGGACAGACGGATGAGGGAGCGACGATGCCTTTACTGTGGTATGTCTGGTCATTTTCGATCCACTTGTCCAGAACTATCGGGAAACGAGGGTCCCCACCGAGTTACAGGAGGACTGTGATGGGGAAAATAAGAGTTCCTCCTGCCAACACCGTTCTAGCTCTCAAAGCTATTTTGTCCTGGGAGAGTCATCAGTTCCCAGTCCAGGCAATGATCGATTCAGGGGCCGCAGGTAATTTCATAGATCTCTCCTTGGCCAAGAAACTTAAGATTCCTACCCACCTTCTCCCTCATCCCCAGTCAGTAACTGCTTTGGATGGTAGACCCCTTGAACCCGGCAAAGTAACTGAGGCCACTCAGTCCCTGAAGCTTACCATTGCTAAACATCAGCAGGAGGAGACTTTCTACCTTATTGACTCTCCCGAGTATCCGGTCATTCTAGGTCATCCCTGGTTGCACAGACATAATCCCCATATCAACTGGTCTACTGGTTCCATTCTAGATTGGAGTCCTTCATGTCACTTCACCTGTTTTACCCAGAGCCTCTCTGCCCCTAATCCCGAGCCTCAAGATTCTGTAGATCTGTCTCAAGTTCCCGCTGTCTATCATAAGTTTAGGGCAGTATTCAGTAAGTCTCGAGCCACCTCTT